ACTGTGTTGATGAATTAACAAGAGCCATTGGCAGATAGGTTTGTTAACCCATTTACTGGCAGTACCCTATACCACTGACGAGTAAAATTTTCTGGCGTTGGACAAGGGAAGGGCGCATTGCCACCTAACGGGTTAAACCACCGTGGTTAAACATAAGATTTCATGATGCTCCAGGAAATGTAAACAAGCTATCAGTGTGACATCCCAGTTTATATATTTATATACTCGGAATATTGATTTATCGGTATATACAAAATTATTTTAAAGTATAACAACCAGCGAAGACGTAAGCCACTAACTACCCTGCGCGGCTGTGCGCAGACTATATAATGACATATATATGTCATCCGTCCGGTCCGTCCGTTGCCATCCGTTGTCTGTCCGTCATTCATCCGTCCGTCCGTATCCACGTTTTATCCTAACCTGTTTTTAAAACACAAAGTTTGCATAAAGCAGTGCGGTTCGTCATGATCTACATTTTCAAAAGCGGCCAATTAGACCAGGGGTTAAAGGGCAATGACAATGACATGCAGGTGACATTTAACATTGCATCTCACTAATTAAAATTTGCGTGTTTAATAATGTTTATCAAAGAAAGCAAAAATGTATACAAGACAATCTCACATGTGGAATTTTTTCACTTACGTACTGCCTTGTAATGCAGTACAAGTATATAAATACAAATGACAAAGCATTTGTAAATTCTAAAACATAATTAAAAAATCATTCGGCACATTTAAGATTTTAATATCGTATTTCAGCCGTGTTTATACTGTTTGGCGCATTCACTGCGTTATATCAATTTCTATACACAGAAAAGCATGTCATTGTCCATGCAGACCATAGGCAAAAAGCATTTGTCAACCACATACCAAATTTAAGCAATCGTTAAATCATATACATGTCATGGAAAGAATATGGAAATAATGTTGAACGAAAGCTAGCATCGCGTATAATATTAAAAGCACCGCATATTTATATTAGTGCTCGAACCACTGCGTATAATTGTGTGTATAACTGCGTTATAAATGTAGTGTAAAATAGTAATGTAGTGTAAAATAGTAATTTGTGTTGTTTTTTGTTTTTTTTACCATAGAAATCCTTTACGATGCTGGTCACCGGTTAATACCAGCTATTTCGTGTAAATATGCTGATCGGTCTTTCTCCAGTTTAAATAAAGTCATTATTATTATTATTATTATAATTGCAAAAGCACCGCGTATATAAATGGTGAAAGCACCGCGTATAATACTGGAACCACCGCGTATAATGGCGAAAGCACCTTGTATAATGCCGAAAGCACCGCCGTATAATGCTAACAGCACCCAACAAAATGCCGTTTGATCACTCTAAGCCAGCTATGGCTTTCCATAAAAGAAGACCAAAGATGAAAGATGATCACATCGCCTGTTTGCCTTATGCCTGACCGCGCTGCACCACGGTTAAAATTCACTGGTACCGTCATGCAATGCGCCAAATAGAAAATTTTGATTTCGACTCGCTTGCTTCAGTCTCGCTCGCTGCGGCAGCAATAATACGAGACATAATTATGATAATTATTTAGCACCGCGATTTGCAGTGCTAGTATTTTGATTGGCTAAATGGAACAATGCGCACTGCATGCGCCCAGCCGTTCCCTCCAAGAGAGCCCCCAAGAGGGAACAGCTGGAACCAAGCCTAAGGATGTATACAATTATACTTAAATGCTACCAATCCCCTCCTCCCACCTTACAATGTTGGTTTCCTGTAGTATCTCTCATCTGAAAATGTTGTAAAATACTCTTGAATATCATATCCTGTTGTACCAACATTAGAGAGTTTGGCAAATACAGGGGCAATGGCAATATGGTCATCAACAATAGCATTAATCTTCAAAGACAAAAGCGAATGTAAATTACATGGTCTTAAGCGTTGTGCAATGCCGTAGTTGTTGAAACTAGTATGTGATTTGCATCATTTTCATGCTGCATGACTACGGCAACAGTTAATTCGTTCGATGTTATTTGAGGTGTTTTATTTGAATTCGCGGACTATTTTTACTTAAGGGTACGTTTGAAAGAAACATGTATACTTAAAGAGGCATATTAAGTTTGGTAACGTATACTTTGGCTCAAATACAACAATATAAGCAATTATATTTTCCCCGTTGCCGTTCTAGGTTGCCAAACTCTCTATTGTGTGGTGGGGGGACGGAGGGAGGGCGCAAGGTGATGTAAGTCCGAAACATTCTACTTTCTTTTTCAAATGTCTTTGATTAACAGGGAAAAAGAATGTATTGAATGCTTCTGGCAAACAGTCATTATGAAAATCATACATAAATATTGCGTTATGATAAAAAAACAAGATCATGTAATTTAAGGATCCCAAGTTTAATAAACAGAGGGCTTGAGTGTTCATAAAAAGTTGAAAATGTCATTAATCTAACTGCTTTTTTTTGTAAAATATATAAAGGATTAATTGAAGAACTATATGTGTTTCCCCAAGCTACTAGTCCATATATTAGATAAGGATATACTAACGAGTAATACAAGTTTATAAGAATATTACTGTCAACAAAATGCCTTTCTCTAGATATGGCCCCGATGTTACGTTTTATTTTTTTTGAAACTTTTGAAATGTGTGCTTTCCAATTCAAATGACAGTCAATCACAACTCCTAAATAAGTGGTATAAATTTCTTGTTTAAGTATTTGGACCATTTCACCCGATTAGCGCGTTTGACGCCGGCTGACAGCCGGAAATTTTGTCTCCGATTGCTCGGCTGCCAGCCGGGCTGTACTATAGTATACTATTCGTTCAAAAAATGTGCGCATTTCGGAGACTGGTTCTAGAATGTTTCATAAGCAGAAAACCACCAAAATTACATTAAATTTTCCGAAAATCATCGAAATGCATCTAAATTCATCTTCCCAATGCATATAGCTAGCTATGCGACAGGTAAATAAACGAGAAAAAAACACAATTTCGGCAAAAAGAAAAATTCAAATTCGTTTGCGCGCATTCCGGGACCGAACTCACGACCTTCAGCACACACGCTGAGTCTTGTCCCTCTGCGCCACCACGTCTTACACGGAAAATATGTTAATTTATTGTATATATACAGGTTATTCTTAGCCAGCGCGATTAAAGATTGCGTAAATACGTACACCATCGTACACGGACAAGGGTACAGTAGCAGCCGAGCCGTATCTACACTTTAATACAATACTTACAATACATCGCGG